GTGGCGCTAGTTTTTTGTTTTCTCTTTTTTTTTTTTTTTTTTTTTTTAATTTCAATCCATCGCGCGAAAATGCTTCTCGATTTTCGTTATATTTTAATTACCAATTGTCGGGCGGGGACCCCACACCGGTTGAACACACCGTGGAAAGCTGGATAAGATCAGCAGCGTCGATTTCAAACCAGCGATTTCGAAAATCTGTCGGCTATAAATTCGAGATACTTGCGTATAAATCGTTTTCGAGCTGTCGGACGCGCGCGAATTTTATTACAATCGCGATCCATTGGACGCGCCCCCTTCCACTCTAATTTTTTTTTTTTTTCATCCCCCTTTCGTCTGAGGGACAGCAAACGAAGGAGAGAAGGAGCACGCTGCCGCCGGTCCAGGGGGCAATCGATGAAATCCTATTACGTTTAAAATTCACGAACGTTTAACCACCCCTGCTGCGCGCAATTTGCATATCTGCCTTAACGGCCATCTTTTCGGTCCCTCGGAATTGCAATAAGTGCACGATAGTTGCACCGCAGTTGGCCGCCTGTGAAGTTGCTACGGTGACCTAAGAATAACGGGTTAAACGGCAAACGTCTCTTTGTTTCGTCTTTTTGTTTTCTTTTTTTCTTTCTTCCTTTCGGGTCAGGGAATTTTTACGATCGACTTTTAAAGTAAATTTCTCCTCGGTAAGAGTTCTCGCTCGGCTCGAGAGGCTGTTTCAACTTATCACTTCTTGGAAATGAAATCCCTTTTCGCTCTTGCCTTCGAATTTGCCCGCCGACAAACGCGAAAAGAGTCGATTAGTCTGATAATCTCTGATTCTGGATCAAATGTTGTTTGAACGACTCGATCTAAAAGTCGATTCGTACGTGTGTACTTGTTAGATTGTTGTTGACGAGGAAGTAACTAATGAAGCAGTTTTAAAAATAGTTTATGAATAGTTATTTCTCTAAAGTAACATTGACTCTCAGCGACTGATGTCGTTCAGAACAACAGTTTGACGTTGGATTACTTCATTCTGGAATTTTTTTTATTTCATTGAGTTTTATTCCTAGAACTTTCCTACTTTTTAGACACATCATGTATATCCACGTAATTAAAATTTACTTTAAACGGAGCCGAGAGTTTTCCGCGAGAGCTGTCCGGCGCAGAGTCGAGCGCTCCTCGTACACTTTCGTCTCTTTCGGCGGGGAGGAAACCTTGTCGGCGCCGCGCATTAGCTCGTTAACTCGTCCTTAATTCGCGATTTCAAGCAGATCGCCCGCTGACCGGGAAGGAAACGATTATAAAGTCGTGAAAGCGGGGATGGAATTCTTACATTGGCTGGCCAACCTAGAGAGAAAGAACAAACGGACGAGAGAGAGTTAATTTTCCACGCGGAAACGCGCGGAATAACGAGAGCCAGTCACAATTAAACGGAATTTCGATGTTTCGCGGAAACTAGGTTGACCCCGGGTTAACAGTTCTTGATTACCTTCGATCGGCTAAATATTTGTCGCATCCGCGCGTTGTTCGCTGTCCGAATGTGAATTTAGTATGTCTGTTGCGTGCGCTCTCGCGATAGAAGGCTGTAGAAAGTGGAAGAAAATAAATAAATAAATAAATAAGAACGAAAGAAAAAGTCGCAGAAAATTAAGGACAAAGGAAAAACTCAAGTTTCCCCCCTTGCTGGAGGAAATCACGGAATGAAAGGAAGTCGTAGGCACAATGGGGCGAACGCGGAGAGAAGGAGGCGTATCGCAGCGTCGAAATTCGTGTACGGTCGCGTTTTTTTACTCGCTTCTTCTTCTTCTTCTTCTTTTTTTTTCCATCTCCCCTTTCGGAAAAGTCGCGGAATCTTTTAGTTCTGGCAACATCAAGGGGGCGGAGACAGCATTTATACGCGTAGACAGCAAGGTTCGCCCGTTCAAAGCGCAATAAGGCAAGCGAACCATGTAATCGACTATCTGGCAGTAAATCCTCTGTGGCGAATGTACACGGTCGGTTCTCTGTGCTCTCGGTATCGAGCCTCGGTTACCGCCGAATTCCGACTCTGTTATACTCCTCTCTCTGTTATGCCCGGCGATTACCAGCCGTGCTGTCATCGCGTATGCTGCCGGCTTGATTCACGTTCGAAACGAATTTTCGAGCGATGCGGTTCTTAACCTTTTGCGCTGGAATGACGTGCCACGCACGTCGAGAATTTCTTTTTGTCCCAAAGTTGCAACATTTCCTCAGTTTCAAGTATATTTAGGGTATAACCCAGGCAAAGGAAATACTTCGCAATAATTTCTATCCGGTGATATACCGACGAGTTCAAAAAAGAAAGAAAGCGACGAGTTATTGTACATATGGTTTGGTCACTCGTTATGGTCCGCAAACCAGTTGCCAGCGCAAGGGGTTAACCCTAAAAGATAAAAGAATCTTTACGCGTCTTATTTTGAAATTTCATTAACACTCTTGTAGAGTCAGAAACGACTGTTACCACGTTGTTGTCACAATTTGAAACCAATTTGGTTTCAAATTTTAATTATAACATATTTATTGTAAACATAACTTTTAAATGAATTTTTGATGAACATAGCCATCTTGAGCATTAGAAAATATTAGCTCCACTGAATGTTTAGGATACTTTTGTTTGGTTTGTACTTTGTAATATTTTGTATGTTCTCTTTCAGAATTGTTACAAATTTAAACAACCTAATCATGATAATTGAACGTCGTGATAGTATTAATGAAATTTTTTAGTGTTTCACATAATGCAGTTAATATATTCATAAAAGATGTCGATAGAATATCTTTTCATATTATTTTAAACAAAATTTGACTTGTACTATTTTTCAAAAGAGAAAAGAAAGAAAAAAAAAGGAGAAGGAAGAAATATTTTTTTCTGTTTATTAATATTCTATAATCTAGCAATTTGAAATATGTTAAATTATTAATCTCTCACTAAAAGATCTTTTCGCTGAACTGTACATTACACTTTCAATTTTTTAGAAAAGAAAATAGTTTAAAGAACTAATTATTTGACTATACATATATATCGATACTTCGCACCACGTACTGCTTCTCCAACATAGCATTGAAAAACAAGCAGGTTTTGTTGGAGTAACAACAACACCGATTGTTGCCGAACGTGTTTTAACATTTAGTGGTCATCTGAAATTTGATTTGCTATTGCATCCGTTGGACTTCGTGTGTTTATTGCTACTGCGTGTTTGGTTACGAAGTCTGGAATTTGTGGAGAGAGATGATTCCAGAATAGAGAGCAATTGACACGTTGATTAAATAATAACATCCAGACCGTTATATTTCTAGCACTTAATATAACTGGTAATTTGACTTGAATAATTAATTGAAAATGTTTATTATTTATTACAATTTATTATAATAGTTAATTGTCAGTTTCTAACAATCCCGTAATAAATTGACAGAAATATTATTTTACTCTTCAATGAAAACTGTTTCAAATTTCTAACCTGAGAGAGTAGACTTTGATTGGATTTTCTTTTTTACGCGAAAAATTTATGTTTGCGTACCACCGTGATAGTTTTGTTTTTTGTAAAGTGGAAATATTTAGTGTTTCGTAATTACTGCAGTTACGTTAAGGAACAAAAAAAAACACGACAAAATGAGCAACACGCAATTGCAGTTCGTTTTCCAAATTGAAAAATCGTTGAAGAAGAATTTTCTACGCGCTGCACATCTTGCATTAACTTTGTTAAACGGCTGCTGTAGCCGAAGTATCGCGTTTCCCTCTGTACATAAAGTTATTAAATTTAGCTAAGCAAATATTTTGATAAATATCGGTCTGGGGAAGGAAATTAAACAATTTTCAAGCAGCCATCTCTGGTAGCGAACTTTCTTTGCGGAGGAAAATTGTTACATTTAAGAGAAAAAAGTCGTTTCCCTCGAAGGTTCGCAGGTAAATAGAAACGTTTAACGTAAATACGAGCATGTAACGGAGACTTCATAGATTTCACTGAAATGAGCTTGACAAAGAACGAGACGGTGGAAACAGTTTTATATTAAATTATAACTTTCTCCATAACTTGAATTAACTGAAATAACTCGTTTGAACAAATTCTAGCACTAAAATCGAATTTTCCGCATGTGAGCATGCGTTTCGCTTACTGTTGTTACATTTCATGCAGATTAAGTGATTGCACATTAAAGCAAATGAGTCTTCAACTTCTTAACGTTTAAGGAACGAAATATATACAGTTGTTCAAGTATCCGAATATTTATAATATGGGAATAAATATAATATAATATACAATACAATGAAGACGATGTGTAATAATATAATATTTGTATTATAATGCTATAGTTAGTGTTATTGATATTATATTGTATTATTTTTATTTGTTAATGAACATTTGTAGAAATAAATATATAATGTATTATGTAAAACATTTTGAAATTTTAGTAATAATGTGACGTGCAAATTGCAACAGCTATTATTACATGCGATAGTTTTGTTATTTCTCCAATCTTTGAAAATAGAAATTTTTAAAACTAACTTTCTAATAAAAATTTTTAAACTTAAATTTTAAACTATACCATCGTTCAAAAAAGTATTTGATTACTTATAGGAATATTTTTATACGTATTTTGTAAAATATTTTATTAATAGTTTTATTGACACTAAAAGCTGAGTATCATGATTATATTGATCAAGTTTGAAACAAATCTGAAAAGATAATACACAAAATAATAAACAAAATTTACAAGATATTTGTATATAATAAATAATTTATATATATTGATATACATATATTAATGTAATTTAAATCTATTGAGATTATTAAAAGATTTATATCGTAGATATCAGGCATCGTCTTTGAAGGATTAAGTTTAATTAAGAAAAATTTTTACATATTCTTTCCATGGTCCGAAGAATGTATTTGCGATTTATGTAAATATGCAATATCAGGCATTTATTTCGAATATTTTGTTATATCAGCTTATTATTTCGTTTTTCGATGTACATATAACGTAACTAATCGTATTATTCTTTTTTTCTGTTTTAGGTAAGTGACAAGTATCAAAGATTACTGTCCTACGAAACACGCACACGTGTAAGTAACTTGCAAGTTTCTGATAATCCAGTATCTCGCGAATGTTTGATTGAATTATTTGATACGAACGAAAAATCATCGAATCCCAATAGTTGTATAAACTATTTTTTTTTATTTCTCGACAAGCTCATGTCAAATAGACATTTGTTGTAGCAGTGGATATTAATAATTGACTGACTTGACACATTTTTGATCTTTATGAAATATACTCACATGAAATTAATTTAATTCAATTTCTACATCCTTAACCTAAATTTAAACGATATAATCGTGATAATTTGGTTTCACTTACATGTGTCGATAAACTGTTAAAATGTTTTTAGAATGATAGACTAAAAATTCAGAAAATCCCTACAAGAAGGGAACGCTTAGGCAAGCAACGTGCGCAAACGAATTAAATGCTAAACTTCCGCGTTCGTACTTCGATGTTTATGTGTGTGTAGGCAAGCATCGCGAAGGCATCGCGCAGAAACGCAAATTTATTATTGCGCTGCGTAGAAAGAGATCCGGTTGTTAGGCAAAGCTCGTTAACTCGCAATTTCGGGGGAAAATTAGTTGAGTAGTTCGTCCCGTCGAGTTTTCCGTACACACAATTTTAGTATACTGCGTGCATCTCGTTTAACGTGATTCGTTTGCTCGTAGTGGTGAAAAAAAATGCTTGACGTGTGGCGTAGCCACGTGAAAATTGTTGTTGCATTCTTCGAGGGGAATATTTTTGTTCGCGACGAAAGTCGAGTCGGCGTGATTGGATCGTTAACAGGCTCACCAGAGGCAGAGTGATTTTACGAAATTCCTCTTTGATAACGAAGGAACGGGAATTTCTTCATCGATCGTTTCATTAAGTTTACTGCACGGTAAAATTCATAACTGAATCTTTCGCGCGCGTAATAATTTTCAAAGCAAGGTGACTCAAGATATTTGCGACTGTGGATTAACAAACGATTTGTCTCTGTTAATTTTATGAAACGAAGAGAGATGGGGGGGGGGGGGAACATGCTGTTTTTGTCTAGTTATTATCGAGAAGCATCGTGATAGACATATTACAAATTATAGCTCAAAGCTGATCGTACGACTGTAACCTCTTACGCTCCTAACGCTGGAAAATTGGAATTTCTTTGTCCCAGAATTGCAATGTTTTCTCAGTTTTAATTATATTTAAGTATAATTAAGTAGGCAAAACAAATGATAAATTTATTACTTTTCAATAATTTCTATCCGGTGATATCACACCGACGAGTTCAAAAAGAGAGCGACGAATTATTGTATACGGTTTGGTCACTCGTTATGGTCCGCAGTCAGCGTTTCGTAAACTGTTGTTCAGCTTCGAAGTGAAACAGTCCGACGAAAATTTTTAACATCGGATAACATGTACTTGTCCTATGACGACACGGAATGCAGAAATCTCGAAACTAACCTTGGGATATAATGAAAACTCTGTTATGATACCAGGACAATTTTGGAACAGAACTAAATCCGAGAACTAGTGATAAAAGTTGGTCGTTTCGACCATTTTAGTGATTCCAGGGTTAACTGTTCTATTAACGGTTCCCGACGAGAAGAAAACGTGTAATTCCGAGAAAATCGTAAATCCTCCTGTCGAGTGTCTGATTGGCACTCTGCAGTGGAAAGTTGTAATACCAGTTAGCCGATTGCCTAGCCTGGTGAAATTTCCCTGGAAGGTTGTAATTTATTCCGTCTTAACACGGACCATTAGATATTGCCAAGGCGTGTATGCACATATCCGGCGCATAAAACTCGGCATCGGAATTGATGGGGCCAATACGAGGAAGGAGCGTGGGCGGAGCGGACTAATTTATTAAATCCGGTTAGAGAACGTAACTGCGCGTGATAACACGGGTACCGGGACGTAGAATTCGCTCGTCGCTACGCGAATTCCAAGGAAGAACCGGAGCCTTGTCTCGTTGAATGAATGGAAAGTTAAAAATGCGCTTCCTATGGAACGAGCAGTGCAGTTTTTAACATGTTGACCGTGTCTCGCACGATTTATTAATTTCTCGAACACCGTGGTGCCCGAATATTAATGAAAGTCAATGCACGTACGGAGAATCTAATAGAACTGTTAAATACGTATCTGCATGCGTACGTGGGGGAGTGACGTAAGTCCATAATTAAAAGAAAATGAGCTTATTATAGGAATATAATTATATTGTAATATTATAATGTTGTATAGTAATGGTTCATTGATTTATACTATAATATGTTATTATGGAAATATTAAAAATTTCTCGTTTTATATTATATTTTTATGTTTTGTATTACAGAAGAAAATGAGCTTATTATAGGAATATAATTATATTGTAATATTATAATGTTGTATAGTAAGGGTTCATTGATTTATACTATAATATGTTATTATGGAAATATTAAAAATTTCTCGTTTTATATTATATTTTTATATTTTGTATTATAGAAGAAAATGAGCTTATTATAGGAATATAATTATATTGTAATATTATAATGTTTTCGATACAATATTTCAGTCGCGATTCTTTTCAATCAGTTTGTATTATTAAATTCTATTTTTTAATATTAGATCTCTGTCTGTAAGAAGGAATTTATTAGGTATTTGTTTAATATGTTTTCGTTCCACTTAGTTTTATTGTGCGAAATTAACATAAATTGACATAAACATCACGATAAACAAACATTTGATTTTTAATAGATTAAATAGAATCGGTTGAATAAAGCATTAAATAAAATTGAAAATGCGTATTGTGTTTTAATCAGAAGCTTTTATAATCACAGAATGAAAAATTGACAAGTACAAATCAATATTCGGCTTGGTTCGGTTTTATTTCAATTCTTGAAAATATAAATGCAATATGCATATGGAAATTGTGAAATAAGCAAATACGAAGTCCCTAATTCCAGATACTGTTATTAAATCGTCGGTTTTCGTGCATTTAAAGAAGAAATTTAAAATTGCAAAAATATATATATATATAATACGCAAAGATCACATTTGCAAATAAATCCAAAATGTGTATTACTCATTGTTATTATAATAAAACAATCGTCTGTCAGCGTAAAAATCGGCAATCTGATTATCACGTCAGAGAAATTGACAAAACAAGCAACGAGTTAATTCGTCTTCCACGGGTTAACAGGTTGATCACCGATGCTGATATTTTTACGCTGGGTCATTAATCAAAGCAGTGCTGAACGGCGGAGAAAAAGTTAGGCTATTTTCTATGGAATTATGGATACAATAGCCGTGAATATTTCATCCGCCGGTTTTTCAAGAACGTTTAATTCCGGATAATATATGGCCCGAAAGAACGTGTTATTATTCTCGGAAGCGTGGTTCAATGCGCGATCGATTGAATCCGATTACGCGACAGGGGTTCTGTTGCGTGTTCGGGCAGAAAAAACTACTCAGTTTCGATGACGGAACGAAAATATCGAGCGTGTGTTTTTAGAAGAGAGAGCCTGATGAAGCTTAATCGACGAAATTTTCGCCCGATCGAACGGCCGGAAACGGTGGAAAGATTTAAAGTAGCTGGAACAACAGCTCCTGTTGTTTATGGAAATAATAGAAATAGATACGTTTGTATTTAGTCTGTCCTGAAATTTATAGCTTGTAGTCTCGTTTAATTGGCGAAACGAAATTAGACGAAGATGTTTTTTAATTAAACGAGTCGCCGGAAAAGGCGTTTCTCGTTACGGAAAATTCGATTACGCCGCGAGTTGCTATGCAGATTCATTTTTGCGAGAACGAGATCTCATTAAGCTCCAAAGTAGCGGATATGAGCGAAAGTGCTTTTTTTTTTTTTTGGTTGCAGCAATTGGCCATTTCGTTCTCGGCAAAATATTTCGCTTTCTTTAGAATTAGAGTATTTTCTGGTCTTACATTAATGTTCATTATCTATATTCTATTGAATTCGATTTAATGTTACTGAAGTAATTAGGTGTTGTGATTTGTTACAATTGTCTAAGATGTAAAATAGTGAAACATTATATAGAATGTCATGTAATTGTTGGCAATTCTTTATAAAAAGAGAAAGAGCGACGTTTCTTCATTTAAAACATAATAGCGATTGTATATAATTTATACTGATTAATCATTTATTTAAAGAACCAGTTTTAAATTTCAAGTTCAAATTCAAATCCCATAAAAACTTTAATTTTCTTTTTAATTGATATCATAATTCGTTTTTCTATAAAAGAAGGGCATTGTTACGAGTAATTTTTTTATAGTGAAAGAAGAGGCAGTGTCAACGTCAAAATAAAGTATCAGAAATAATAAAGTAATAAAATTTTAATATATCAGATGTTATAAATTATTACATATATTAAGTATATTACAATATTATGTATTAAATTATTATATCATAAAGTAAAATGTTAATTGTAATTGTAGAACATAGAATGCAAAACAATTCAATGGCTAGATATGTCTTCTTCAAAATATCTTCATTCTTGTGTCTCTATTTTCTATTGATATCATAGAATCCACATCTGCTTTCATTGGATCATAAATAATCTGAAGTTTGACATAAATTTTAATTACCTCACTTAAGATATTTATTCTCAATTTATATAAATATTGCATATTTTATGTAATTAATAGTCTTTATAAGTATGAAGTAAAGTATTTTAGTTAGAGTATGATTAAATAACTTGGTCCACAATTATGAGTTCACGAGTATGCAGATGCTTGTTAATCTCAAAAGAATATTTTCTAATTGAAAATATACTTGGAAATTTTTCAATTTCAGGTGAAACTTACTTTTCCAAATTTTATATTTATGAATAGTGATTGTTGTTAACGTTCAGACATCACGATATTGAAATAATTATTACTTTATATATTTATTATTGAATTAATTGTTTCTTTTTATATATTGAAGTACTTATTATAGTTAGTAAAAAGACATGAATTTTATTTAAAATTCATAATTCTTTTGTACAAGAATAAAAAGAAAGAATAAGAAGGATCTATTTTTACTTCAAATATATATGTATACGTTTCTAGTTATTATGTTTCTCGCTTTTTATACAAAAAAGACCATCATTTTATTAATTTGCAATTAATTACAAATTAATATAATATAATTAATTCAATTCAACACCATTATAAACAAACAAATGGAACAATAATTTTTCCAAACACTGCGATCAACATTAATAAT